ATAACTCATACATTTTGTTGCAGTCAGATACTTCTGTAATATCCACGAGATAAATAACAGCAAAATTTTCAACCCTTTCATCTATACTGTATAGCACCTCATCCATATTCATACAAGTAGGATCACAATCCTGTCCAAACTAAATAATGACACCTCACTCTTCCTTCGAAAGGATGGCCTGATTTACCTGCTAGCTGCCCTGTAAGTATGGGAGCTTGTACGGCATCTTGAAGAGTTAACTGGATATCTCTGGGTGTGGACACACTCCATGAGGAGCCTTCAGAGTATCATCACTGGGTAGGATTCAAGATTGTTTTGAAGACACATTAAGTCTATTTGGTACAATGTTTACATATTATTGGCTCTTGGTAAAGTGTCCACTATGATGATGAATAGTGCTCTCTCAGGATCTCAATTTATTTGTTACTGAAAGCTTACTCTGTTTTGGAAGATAGTAAAAATCATACAAAGCCAAGTCCAGGCCTCCTTGAGGAGCTTGCAGAATAGTGGCCTATTATGCTATTCAACCTCATTCTTTCTGTTTCCATCAGAGTTGGCCTATTGGGTCCAGTGAAAACTGTCTTCTTAAGCATGGGCAAGGTTTTGCTATGGGAATAAGGTCCATGAGTCCATATTTTCCAAAATCTGTTATTATGGAGTAGGCACAGTTAATACAGTACAGGCACCATAACATAATGAAAGACTCTTTGTTTTATGAAGTACTTCACAGGCTCCACAGTTGGCTGCTAAGACAATTTTAATTGAAGGGAAAATAAAGAAAGCAGTAAGCAGTGTTCAACAAGTAGCCCCTTAATGGTCCATTCTTGCATTCATCTGTGATGACTGGGATAGAACAATTCTCTTTAATCAGAAGGCCTGACTCTGTTGGGTGCCTCTCTTTGTGTGAAAACTAACATTATTCTTATTTGACCAGCTTGGCAAAGCAAATATTCTTGCAGGAAAGATAGCTGCAAGCCAAAGGGGACCTCCTCACCTGCCAATACCATAGATTAACTTTATTGAACAGCAGCTGTATGATACACCATGTTAGATGAAAGGGAGTTCCATACCTTAGCCCAGAGATGGTCAGTTTCTACTTCCCATTAAAGGAATATAATAATTATATCAGACATTGCCTTCATGACAAGCATGTGTCTAAGAGACTCAGCATCCATGACAGTACAGAGTTGTGCTCTCTGGGGGAAGCCAAGTTAAGAAATCTTAGGTATCATTTGTTTTTCATCAATGCCAAAACCCTTTTCTGTGGTCACAGACAGGCCAGATGAGAAAGGAGAAAGAAAACTCTGCTGGCTCAGTAGGAAACCTCCTAAGGGACAGAAAAGTAGCTGAAATAATGAGGCATCAATGGGTGACCTCGGGCAACAGCTCCATGAGGCTTATTTGATGCTTTTTTTCATTTTAAGGCATCTTGAAGGGTTCCTTACATCTTGAAGAGAGATTAGGAAGATGTTTTAAACCATTTGGTTAAAACTTAACAAACACTATTATAGATGGCAGGCAACCTGTTCTTCAGACCTTGGTGAGAAAAAGGGTAGGCAGCATTGGAATGTGGTGCCAACCTTCAATTTCTGTGGCAATCCCCACCAGATTTACAAAAATCAGGCATCAGTACTGTCAGATGCATTTTGCTCTTTTCACCTGCCACTGTCCAGTATTTCACTAGGGAAAATTTTCACCCCTGCATTTGCTGTCCTTCACTGTTGTTAAGAGTAAAGATGAACCATAATTCAACTTTCTGTGAGCCATATGTCACATGGAAATTGAAACAATAATAATAACAGCTGAGTTAACTGAGAGATTACTATGAGCCAGGTATCATTCTAAGACTTTACATGTATTAACTCATTAATCCTCCTAATTACCCTATAACATAGGAGCTATTATTATCACCATTTTATAGATTATGAAACTGAGGCATACAGAGGTTAAGTAACTTGCCAAAGGTCATACAGCTAGGTAATGGCAAACAGGGTTTTGAATCTAGGCAGTCTGGATCCAGAACCCATGTTCTAATCTCAATGTAAACTGTCTTCCTAAAATAATACAGACAGGAGAAAAATCAGTTCACACACAACTCAAGTGATTTCATACATAGTTTTACAGAGTAAGTCTCAGCCTGATGTTATTGCCTTATGTACTTTAAGACAAGATGAGAATTACTGAAATAATTATCAGCATGTCTAAGACTAGGTCTCCAAAGAATTAAGTAAGCATAGCAGCAGACAAGACCACTGAATCACAGATTGAAGGGGAACCTGAAAAGTCATTTCTTTAGAGTTCTTAAGAAAATAAGATATAGGGGGAAAGGGCTAGGGGTAGAAATTAAAACCACTCTTGAGGTGTAACATGTTTGGTTGGAGCTGGATGTACAAACACTCTAAGAGTTGGTCTGCATAGCACCTAGATACTTTCTATTTAAGTGGGAGCTTAGCAGTCATTTGAAGGAAGTATGTTAGTACTTTTTTAAGTCAAAAAGCATATAGTACTACTAATTGTAACAATAATGATAGTTAATCTTTATTGAGTACTTATATGCCAAGTATTGTGCTAAATATATTATTCAATCTTCATATAAGGTAGATAGGATAATTATTGCCATTTTACAGATGAGGAAACTGAGGAACAGAGAGGTCAAGTAATTTGCTCAAGATAACACAGTTAGCAAGCAACAGAGCAAGAACTCAAACCCAAGCAGTATGATTTCAAGGCCTGTGTTGTTAAGCACTAAGGAAGAAATAGCCCTTTAAGGCACTGTTAGGAAAACCTACCCCAATTTTCTAGCCCTATTATTGATCCCAGGTCAAGTTTTGATCCTATAATGATTGTTTGGAGGCATTTTTGCTCACAATGCTAGGCCTTTTCTGTTCCACGTTATAGATAATTGAAGATTACTTTGTGAGCATAGATTTATACTTACATGTGATAATTTATGAATCATATGATATCAGTTAACATTTAGGTCCCCTTGGCCTCAGAGCAGATGTGACCTCAAGATTCTTCCTGGGACATTTACCCATATGGTCCAGACTGCCATAAACTGGGAATATTTAAGCCAAATCAGATTGTCTAGTCACCTTAGACTATAAGTGATTGTAACTCAGGACCACTCTACATAGAGCTATAAAATAATATATAATATTTTCGTTTAATTCTATTATAATGAAATAATAAAGAAATAATAAATAAAAACACATTACTTCCTTTAGAAATGTCTATGAGAAATATATTAACAATGATTTTTAAAAGTATTTTAGAAGCTAACATTTTTGAGCACTAATTATGCACCAGGCATTGTGCTAAGCAGGAGTTAATGGGGACCAAAGGGAGGCCCAAACTTTACCTGTACAATGACCACTTGTATATCTAATTCTGAATTGTACCCCATATCTTTAAAATTTAAAAAAGCAGGATTTAATTCTCATGACAACCCTAGGAGGTAAGTACTGTAAGTCTGACTTTATGGATGAGGAGATTGAGTCTCAGAAGATATAAAAGAGATCAAATACTGAAAGAAACAGGCTTGGAAGCCATGCATGTTGCGCCCAGAGTCTGACATATTAACTACTCTGCAATACTGGCCCTTATAGTAGCATCCACTGATCCTAGATTGGTCCCACAAGTCATTTATAACTTAACAAGACCCATGGTCCAATCACTCTAGCCCTCAAAGGATCCCTGGTTGTGGTTGGTCTTATGAAGAAGGATGCAGTCTAGCCAACTACAGCCCAAGGTATGAATTATAGTTTGGTGAAACAGTTCTTTGCCTCTGCCATATATATAATTTAGGCACATTTTTCTTCCACCGATTTCTTAATCACATACCTTTTTATCTTGATGTTTGACTGCTTTTATGCTTGTTTCCTGGCTTTCAATGTTATAACATAATTTATCATTAGTATTGTTATTGCCTGACCTACCTCACCCTTATTATAACTAATAAAGATTTAAAATCTGGGCTGGAATTATGAAATTGATATGGGGGGAGGGAATAGCTAACTACATGAACAAATGGCACAAGAGAGTGGCATAACTCTAGATCTACCTGTGAATCACCTGGGGACCTAAATCACCTGAGTGGCATAACTCTAGATCTACCTGTGAATCACCTGGGGACCTAAAATGCAGCTTCTGATTCAGTAGGTTTGGGTTGGTATCTGAGATCCTGGGATTCTAGAGTTCCCAGGTTATGCAGAGCATACTTTGAGAAGCAAGGTTGTAGATTTGCTTGGTCCTGTTGTGTTTTTAAGTAGGATCAAAATTAAATAAAGCTGGGAAGATTCAAGTTTAGACTGTTTAAAAAGCCACCTTAGGGTCCCTGAAATGGCAATTCCCTAATGTCTTCACAAAGCCATTGTAATGGTTAATTAGCTCTGACTTTCAGGAAGATTTTTTGTGTTTAAAATAAACCCTTCAGATGCCCTGATGTTTTTCTGCTGATTTTATCTTTAGTAAAGATGAAGTGAGTTCACCATGCCCATTCAATTATGGGTTACTTGGCTTTAATATATATGTGTGGGTGTGTTTACACACACTTACACACAGTTATTCAATGCCAAAAATAGTCTCTGCACTGTTCCCCACCATCTTCTTTCCTCCCCTTAAGGAATCTAAGATTTTGAGGATATCTAAGTCAGTTCTCTTTTCATCTTCATGTTTATTTGCTTCCTGTATGACATCTATAAAATTAGACAAGCTTTGTAATTCTTTGCCAAAATCTTGTTGCCTTGTGTTTCAATGAGCTGCCTAAATGTTCAATGAGCCTATCTTGCATTGGATATCCCCCCAGTGTGTCCAAAGTGCAATAGGGAGTATAATCATAACTACTGGCCACCCAAGCTATAAAGCTCATATTACAAAAATGCACACTCCAGGCAGAATCTGGTAAATGTCAACTTCAAAATAAGTTGTGTCATACTGTTATATTTATTACCACATGGTCAATAAAAGAAGCGCTTGTGAGGTGATTAAAAATAACATACCAGGTAAAATTGGTTGTCCAGCAATTCCCAGTGGTGCCATTCCAAGATTATTCATTGCTGTGGCCCATGCAGTTGGATCAGACATAGGTAGTGTCATTGCAGTGGAATCTACATTCAGAGTTCTACTATTATCAGCTGAAAAGAAATGACAATCAAAATAGTTTGTTGTGTTATGGTTCCAGTGTCTAGTTTACTTATCAACATAAATTCTGGCAAACTCTATAGAAATGGCCAGATGGACAAGTGGTGGATAAGGTCTCAATGTCAGCTTTCTTACAAGCATTAGAACAATACAGCTTAAACTGACAGGAAGTCACGGAATTTGAAAGCAATTTACCAGATGGCATTTTAGTGTAAATGTTTCCCTCCTTTCCTCCCTCCTTCCTTCTCTCTTTTTTTTAAAGCACACACAACAGAGGAGCATGAGATGATTAAGAAGTTTCCTATTTTTCACATAGTCTACTAGCATATGATTAAGTCAGCAGCTTCTATACCAACTACTCATGCCTGCAAACCAAGAAAAAAAATCCCAGGGCTTCCGTAGTTGGCAACAAAATGTACAAATTTTACTCCTGATGTAATTTCGTACCTTTGAGGCAGGGCTATTGAATAAAGCTGTACACACAATCAGCAGACATCATATTAGATGAATGAGAATTTTTGAGATTAGAATACCTGAGAAAAAGCAGACCAAAGACACGGCCCTCAAAGGCTGTACAATCTAGTTGAAGAAACTGATGATGATAGTGATAATTATTACCATTATCGCTATTATCACCACCTCAGCTCACTAATACTACTAAGTATTGAACCCTTACCATATGCCAGGTAAAGCAAATGACATGCAATAATCTCATTTCAGAGATACCCTACGAGGTAGGAACTATTTATATCCCCATTTAATAGATGAGAAGTTCTAAAAGGTCACATATATTGTCCAAGATCATACAGGATGTATACATTTTAGCCGTTATACCTGTCTCCAATCAAACAGTTATGAAACAATGAAAGATTTGAATGGTATAGACCAGAAAAGTTCCTGAAGTTTAAGAAATGAAGAGCTACTATAGCCTGAATAGGTAGGAAATACTTCATGGAGAAGATTGACCTTGAAAGAATGGCCAGATTTCTATAGAGTATTTCTGAGTGATGGGTAGTTACTAGAAAGGTAAAGAAGGGGAAAGACAACCCAGGAGCAGGAATGACATAAGCAAAGACATTAAAGCAGGTTATACAAGCATGTGCTTTACATACTGTTGGGAGAGATATAGTCGCAAGTTATCTCAGCACAAAAAGACTTTCATTTTGGGAAATTTTCCTCTGATTACTGATAGCCATAGAAAAAAGCCTTCCATGGCAAATTTTCTCCTCCCTCCCAGCATGCACTTCTGTCAATTATACCCCCAAAGGCAACTCTGTTCTAACAGTAGCTTGCTAAAGTCCAAGGCAACATGAGGAATGATCCATGGCTGGATTATTTATAAATGTGCTGTTTGGGTCACTGATTGATCAGAACAAGTAAATGCAAATGTCCAAAAAGATTATTTCTGAAATATTAGTTGTCAATTAACTTGTCAATTACTGTCAACGTTATTTGATATTGCAATAAGTGCTTCATACAACTATGAGTAAAGTACTGTGGAAACACAGAGGAATAATCATAGTTGCTGGAATGAGTTTGAGTGTATGTGTTTAGGATTTGGTGGTTCAAAGAGATAAGGAATGCCAGGGAACCTTTCAATGAGAAAGAATAATTTGAAATGAGTCATTAAGGAGGAACAGGATATGTTTCCAGGTAGTAAATGGAGAATTGAGGTAGAAGAGCATTTCAGAAAGCAAGAACAATAGAATATTTACCATTGACTGCCTTGAATTACAGTTATTGGATACATGTCTCTGTTTTGCTAGCCTGCATTCCTTTTTGAGGTCAGGAACTGTATTTGAGGTATCTTTCTTTCCTCATTTCTTAGTTCAGTGTCTGGTATAAAGTAGGTATTCAAGAAATATTTGAATTAATAAAGAAAATCAACTTACATTGATTTGGAGCACAGTAGGCAATCTATACAATGATAGTCATTGATTCAATATTTGTATACCTTTTCAGAATGATATATTGTCTTGAAAGAGATGGCATTATTGCTAAGCCCATTCTTTCCTTAGGGCAACTGAATACTTGTAGGAATTTGCTTAGTTACAACCAGGAATAGATTTACTCAACTGATAATTCAATCTGATCTCATTAGTTATAATCTTTTCCCCATATAGGCACAATTATACATATAAGCAAGCTTGTAAAATTTTACTTTCAAAGGGAAATCCCAGATGATCATCTCTGGCAGCAATCTGGATTTAAGGTCCACACTAACAAAACACGCTGTGCAAAACATCTGTTCAGAATTATCATCATTTAGTGGTGGAAAAAGTTAAGTCCTGGCCTGATTCACTTTCCAGACTAGGAATGGATATCTCAAAATTTTAAAAAGTGTTTTATCAAGGCATTTCCATGTCACTAAAGGAGGAGATTGCTCATTTTCCCATGAATCGCACAATCACTAGCAGAGGGCAAGAATATTCAGAAGACAAGTGCTAGCAGCTGTCAAATGGCCTTCAAAATGCCTCCCAAGTCTGAAGAACATGACCTGCTATGCTGTTTCTCCTATTCTGCTGTGTGATAACTCCTCACAAGGTCAGAGGTTGTGAATAAGTGCCTTCTAGGTAATTTGATTGAAGATATGCCACTTTGGAATAAGAGTTCAATAGCACCAAAACAATAAAAAAGTTTGGAACTGATTATCTACTTTAAATTTATATCACTCCATAACTACCAGATCCCTGCCATCTGCTTACTTTTGTATTATTTATGCATCACTGATTAACTTGTCAATTACTGTCAAAGCTATTTGATATTGAAGACCACACACACATAGTGATATACCCATCTTGTAGTGAAGTTAATTATTTGAAACGTTTTCTTTATTTCCTCTGAAACAAGGACAGTATATTGGTGCCGTCTCTCCAACTATATTCTTTTATTGAGACAAAAACTCTCCCTCTCTGATGATTTACTCTCCTACAACTCTCTTTCATATGTCCAGGTGCATATCCATATGTTTTTATGCTTACTGTAATTTTGTTACACAGTATTGTTCAAAGTTGAGGAGCCAATTTTGTCATTATCTATTGAAAGCCTGTTAAGAGTAGGGAGCAATCCTGACTAGTGATCAAGAACATTGGTTTGGGAGTCAGATGACTCTGGTTTAGTGTCTAGCTCTACTACTTAGAAACTATAATGTGCTCATTCTCTCTCTTTTCTTCTTGCCTGCCTGCCTCTCAGTCTTCCTTCATATTTACTGTATATTCACTGAACATTTTCTATATGTCATAGAAATAAATAGATATTGAGGACCTATGGTGAGTCAAAAAGACCCCATCCTTGGTTTGGGGGAGCTTACACTCTAGTGCAGGAGACAGATACTAAAATACAAATAAATAATTATAAAATAACTATACATTGAAATAAGTGTTATTGACAAAAATCTGAGTTTGATGAGAAAAATGGCAGCTGCAAAATTAGAAAAATGAAAGTATCTTCCTTATAGGTCTGAAGATTAAATTAGACAGTGTGGGTAAAGAACTGAGCATGCTTCTGGCTCATATTGAGTACCCAGTAAACGGTCATAATAACATGGTAATAGTTATGGTGATGAGGAAGCATCCTCGCCCTTCAGGGGCTCAAATTCTACTAAAAGAACCAAGAATAAACAGAAATTATTAGAATGCATTATATGGATAATGAAATGAGGCACAGTGAGCTTAAGTAATCAGCTCAATATCACACAGCTTACAGGCAGCAGAGCAGGAATATAAACCCATGCCACTCTGATGCCAATGCTCATGGTCTTACTCATCACACAGAACATCTTTCCAATGAGTCCCTTTATTTTCTGTGTTCTTCTAGTTCATAGAACACATGGCTATCATAGCCTTTAGTACATTATATTTTTCTCACCTTGTTCCTTTCCATGTTTACCCTCCCCTCTAGACTCTGAAATATCTTATCCATCCTTATTATTCTTACTGCCTAGACACCATGCCTGACATAGAAGAGATATTCAATAAATGATTTTAAACAAATGAATAAGGAAATATATGAATGTGTATAAGAGGCTCCTGCACAGATATTCTTCTCAGAAGCAGGTGTCAAGCTGTTCAGGACAGGATACTACTCTGCTGTTGTATTAAAATAAAATCTCTTGGGTAATTTTTTTCTGAGGTTTGAATGTTAAAACGTTTAAGTGGAGACAGAAAGGAAGATAAAATGATGATGACTTGAATTATTATAATCCTTACATGTTGATAATATAAGAAAATCACAATTACAGAAATACAAACTTCAAGAAGGATAAATCTGGAGGTGGGAAGATAATTTTCATTGCAGAGAAATTCCTCATGTGTAAAAAGGGACAGGCTGAAATTTCTTTGAGAATTTAAGGTAAATTTGCTAAAATAAATGTGTAGGTAGCAGAAATATTTATTACTTCTTTGAGGGCAGGGGCATAAACCTCATTTACCTTTGTATCCTCTATTGTGCCCAGTTCAATGTAGGTGGCAATAAGTATGCTTTTAAATAAGAGAATCCTGTAAGAACTCAGCAATTGTACAACGTAAGGCTTACCTGCATTGTCTATTTCATAGATTCACAGCCATGTAGAATATCTTTGCATTGTGTGTTCCTGAACTGTGGACTTAGCTCTTTAGTCATTTCTGTAGAAGGAAGATAGTGGTCGAAAGCTTGGTGGGACACTGGACCTCTGGAACATACCAGGACTTAGATAAATGATGAATTACAGTGTTGATTATAGTAATTATAGTAAGACTAGTAAGAGTTAACACATAATGCTTACTATGCATCAGGTACTGTTCTAGGCACTTTATGTCCACTAATTTAAAACTCACAACAATCCAATGAGTTTTAAATAATCTTCTCATTATTACCATTCTACTGATGAGGTAATAGGGAAAGAGAAGTTAAGCAAGCTATCCATGGTTACACAGCTACCTTGCAGTGGAACTGGGATTTGAATTCAGGCAGCCTGGCTCCACAATTCATGTTCTTACCCACTATGCTATATTAA